AAGAAATTAATCATTTAGATATCTAGTGAGAGAGAGAGAGACAGAAAACGGCTGCTGTAATTTACTTGGATAAATGGATAAAGGTTAGCAGCAGCAGGTGTAATGGAGTACCTGAGGGAAGCTGCATCATTCAGGCCATGGTAATTGGGCTGACTTCTGCTCACAGTGTGTTCCAAGGACCAGCAGCATCTGTATCACCCAGAAACGTGGTGCATGCAAAAATCTTGAGCCCCATCCGAGACCATCTGAATCATTATTTATACTTTGGACACTTTTTATTGCACTTAAATCACCCTTAAAGTTCATTTATTTTTATCATAAATTTTATAAAAACTTGGCACAGATTTAGAAAATGTGAAACCATCGAAATATCTCCACCTGTCCTGGGGCATTATTTTTGTTTTTTCTTTATAATCTTACGTAGGTATGTTATAACGTTGTAAGAAATTTTTCTTAAATAATGAAATAGTGATATGAAAGCTAAGTAATCATTTTAATATCTGTAGAACGTTCTGTCATAGTGATGAGCTATAATTAAATACTTTTAGTAACCGTCAGGTCAATTTGACTTTTTCATGATCCTAAAAAATATTCGTAGAGAAAAGAGCTTTATGTGTTTCTGATCCTTTTTTTCCCCCAGACATTTCAATACATGATGAATTGAAAAAAATGAATGTTGACTTTTGATATACATCTCCAAGATGCATTACAAAATTTATATGTTCTGATTACTCCAATTTTGAATATAATAATTTTTACTTATTTTAAGTATTACACTCTATTCAAACTTTGTTTTTCATGTAGTTAGACCAAACTATTCCTTAAATAATAGTGCCTGTTTTTGATTAAGCTTTCAAAGTAGTTATTATATATCATATATTGGTATTCATATGTTAAAATCCAAAATGATAGAAAAGCCTAATATTTATAGAGTGAAGAAAAAGAATTTAAAAACTGTTCTTGGACCTGATACTGTAATGCCAATTAAGTAGGGTTTTTCAAGAATTTAGGAAAGAAGATGAAAATGTAAAATAATCTGAGGTTCCAGAATAATATTAGTCAAACATTATCATTAGCCTATTACTTATTGTTCTAATATTTACCTAAATCACGTATAATTGAATTAAAATATTTCTGAAAATTAATCTTTAATGAGGCATAAATGTTGAGCATTCTGAATCCTCCTCAAATAATGAAAATACTCAGGACTATCTCCAGGAAGCAAAATATAGTCTGTATACTTGGTCTACTGAAAGTTTATAAGAACTTTTACATACTAATAGGATATAATCATACTCTAATAAATACTTTTGTAACACTTATCTAATAAAATGGACAACACTATTGATTTAAATGACTAACTTCAGGGAAAAGATGATTAAAATGAAACGTAAGTCTAATATATTAATAAATGTTATCATAACAAATGCAGAAAAAATTTAGAACTAGAAAAATTTAATCTATAAAAAAAATTCTAATTCAACATTTACTTATATAAAGTGGATACTAAGAAAAGGGAGGTCTACAAAGACCTGCAGAAGCTTGATGATGGAGAACGTTAACGGTAAGAAGTAAACTTGGACTATGTATGAAATTAATCTCTTAGGCCTATATGAATTAAGAATCGTGGCTGTCAACACATGTGGATAATGCTAAAAATGTTCATATATTTGAAATTCAGAAATAAATTAATATGTGGATGTTAACTTTGATATACTTTAACAAACTGTTCATTTCATGGGCACAAATAATTGATGAAAAGGATTTATAGAAAGGTATTACTCCTTGAGTGTATGAAGAAAATTATCTTTTGTTTTCTCTCTGGATAATAACAATAGCAACTCAGCTCTATAAAACTCTTTCTAATGTTAAAGTGATTTAACTTGGATAACACCGGCCTTGGGATCAGGGGAATGGAATTGGGCTTCATCTTTAGCAGTAGTTTGTATGTCATAAGGAAGTCTTTATTTTTATAATTTAATAGTGAAATTATTAATTGTATTTTACTGTAGTGCCACAGGGCCACAATCTGCTTGGAGAGGCAAGATTTTTGTCTTGAGGCTTGAAATATCCAAATTATGGAAATTTCCATAAGATTTTGAAACATTCAATTGGAAGAATATGGTTGCTAGAAATGACTGTGAGAGCTCCCCTCAGCTAAGGACAAAACACTTTGGCAACTTAATTAAAGCGCTTTTAAAATATTTAATGGTTAAATTGGAGGAATATCATTAATATTTGAAGATATTTTTTTTTTTTCCTAAGAAGGGCAGTTTAAAGCCAAGACCTCAGCTTGTTTAGAGTGTGTCAAGGTCTATTACTTAAACTTGAATTTCCAGAAATGTGATATTGTCTATGACAGGAGTTGAAGGAGCACCTTGCAGCCAGGTACATGCTACTCCAACTCACACGACTTCCATATCAATGTGCTAATATATAGAGAAAATATTATTTCAATAAGATTAGGTCCTTATGTGCCCTGTACTTGAAGACATCTAACTTCTGATTCTACCATTTCTTCCATTTTAGTCATCACTTTAGATTAAGTCAATTGTTGCCTTTTCTACTTTTGCCTTGCTGAATATTCTGCCTCTAAAGTGACTTCCCCATTTTGGTTGTATGTGCTCATTTTACTGCATTTGCATTCCTACTCATGATGGTGTCTTCACTGTGAAGCACCTACCAAGAATTACCCTAAACTTGAATTATCCTTCTAATAAAACAAGCTTAGATTAATTAACATATATTCACTACTTACTACATACTCAGTACCACACAACGGGCTCTATATGTATCATCTTACTGCATCTTTTCAACATGTCTGTAAAATAAATACTAGTATTACAACCATTTTCAAGATCAGGAATTTGAGTTTCTCTGTGGATAAAAAACTAGCTCTAAGATACAAATTGAAAAACTGTAATATGGACCCTAATTGTTTGATTTCAAAACTTAGTCACATTTCAAAATAAAATAGAACTCATTTAAAAATAACTACCTCATGTTAGTCAGAAAAAAAGGAAAATACAGACTAATTTTTAGGAAAACAAGGAGTGTTTAGAAAGATCTAAGTTTTATAAAATAGTTCAATTAATAAGAATCTACTGTGCATAAACAAAATTAGAAAAATAATTATAAAATATCCCTTTAAGAACAATAAATATAAAATTCCTACAAGTCTAATAAAATGTAGTGTAAAACTTCTAATGAATAAAATATTATACTTAATTGAGAGACTAATAATGACTTACTAAATTTAAAATATACCATGTTCATTGACAAAATTAATAAAATCAAAATTGTGTCAAATATGTTTGTTATTATAGAATTAATGGCTAAGTACAAATAGACTTTATCATGGGATTTACAATGCTATTTCTAAAATTATGAAGAAATATCCATGATATTTCTGAGATAAAGTGGTAAAAGGGAGCTCACCTTATGTTATAACAGGATTTACAATGAAGGTTCTAATAATTCAGTTTGAAGCATCAAATAAATTAACCCCTAAGGCGTATGGATAACTAGACTTTATACATAGTATAGAATTTTAATATAGGACAGATTGATATATCAATAGAGAAAACAATTTATTCAATACATGCATCTATTAAAATGTGTTTCTGTATAGAAAAAAATAAAATTGGTATCTATCTCACATTATATTTAAAAGTAAACTCCAGCTTGATTGAGGGTTTAAATGACAAATGCACAACTAATGAATTTTAGTTGAAAATAGATTTCTCTAAACTTTCAGTAGGGAAGTATTTTTTAGCATTAACTATATCCCCATTATAACATAAAATATTGATAAATTTTACTTAATAAAATAATTACTCATCCACAGCTCTCTTAAATAAGATGGAAAAATAAGTTCTGGACTTGATATATACTTGGTGAAGATACTTGGAACACTTATAACTGACAAAAGATTAGTATCAAGATTGTAAGGTAAACATTTTCAGATAAAAAGGAAAGGTCCAAAGAGAAGAAAGAACAGGAGACCTGGATAGGCACAAAAGAAGAAAAACATTAAGCCAATAAAAATATAAAAAAGTAGCAAGCAGTTATTACTCAGAGAATGGCAAAAGTTTAAATACCTCACAACATCAAGTGTTGGCAAACATGTTCAACCAGGATCCTTTCTAACTGCTTTTGTAAGGTTAAGTTAGTAAACATCTGGGAAGATATTTTACCATTATCTTGTAAAATTAAACATTAAAAAAGGATAACCTGGCAATCCTCCTCCTGGGTATGTCTCAAGAGAACACTGCACATAGGCACCAGGGATAGACAAGCATGCTCAGAGGAGCAGAAGGCTGCAAACAACCTGACACCCATGGCACAGGAGGATGGTGAAATATCATGGCTCATTCGGGCAGCGCCGTAATGCAGAACCAGCAGAACACATAGGCTGCAGTGAGAGACGAGTGTATGTGAGTCTTAACAATTTACAATTTAAATTTAAAAAGCTAGTGTCAGAAGATTTCATATAGCATGATACCCATTTTTTTCATATTTAAGTAAAAAACTAAAAAAACATTTTAAAACTATATATTTGCACCAATATACTATACACACACATATATACACACACGTACTTGGCATATGTATATATGTATATACACATATATATGCTATACTTAAATACACATAAATGCACTTATATGTATTTATACAAATATATGTTAAAACTAAATTTTTAAAATCATGGGAATAATAAACACATTCCAATACAGTGACTCACATAGGTAGGGAGGCAAAGATAGAGATGAGGA